AATTACATGTACAATTCAGTGACATTGATTACATTCTTCAAGTTGTGCAGCCATTCTTACCTTTCTTTTCCAAATTATTCCTCCCACGTTAACATGAGCTCATTACCCCCTAAGCTTCCTATCTAACCTTTCAAGTTCCTGTTGTCAATTTGATCCCATATAGATAGTTCTTTAAAAGATCACAATGCTCAAGCCCCTAGCCTGATTCTTGATACATAACGTCACCACCTGTTTTACAGGAGAGTCAACACCACAGGTTTCTATCTCTAAATGACTGTGTTTTTTACCTTAAATGCTCTTTGTCCATTTCCATTCTCTCTACCTTCCCTTTACTCTTGGAAAAAGGAATGTCATCCCCCCTTCTCCAAACCAGACCCTCTGACTGTGACCCTGACTGAGCTTCTTCACTCCCACCTTCTCAAGGACCTTCTTTTGTTACTTGCCAGACCTGTCATTTATGGCTCTCTCTTCCCACTGCCTCCACTCGGCTGCCTGGAAAATGTACAGACACTTCTGCTTCAACACCCTCTCTAGACACTACTTTTCAGTTTCTCTCTTTCCCCATAAATCTTCACTGAAATTATTCCCCAAGTGTTGCCACTGATCATGAGAGCCAGAGGTCATTCATCAGTCATCATGCCTCCTGAGTGGCTGTGGTCAGCGTAGCTCAACACAGCTGCATGACCTCTTCCTGAAAATCTACTGATTTCCCAGAGCTGTCTGGGTTCTCCTGCTTCTGCCACTACTTACATCCCATCTTCCCTATTTAGCTCTGTGTCTTTCTTCCACCCTACAACGGGGGAAACTCCCATAGCTCAGCTGAGGGCCTTCGCTGATCTACATGTGTTCGCCCTTGGCAATTAGTTGTGTGTTACTCCATCACTTCCTCTCTTGGGATTGACGGGTATGTCCTCACTTCCAGCCACATCTCTGACTTCCTGAAGCAGGTTTCTACCCCGATGCCTCCCCAAAAGCACAATTTCAGCCTGACTAAAATGAAACTCTTCTTCCCCAAGTAATCTCACTTGCCTTCTGATTCCCCATTTTTGCATAATAACTAGTAATTTCAACAGGAAATTTTCTACTTTTCATTTTGAATACGATTATTTAAATATGAGTTGAATACGATTATTTCAGTTATGTTTTTTGCTCAACTAGCTCAGACTAACCACCATTTGTCACATGATTTGTGGGGAATAAAAATGCATCCCAGCTTCCAAATAACTTACTCGTTTTTAAAAAAAAAAAAAAAAATTGTAGCCCACATGTGAGAGGAAAGCTTCTTATTGCACTGATTTGATTGCAAACTCTCTTAAAGCATTTGTGCAATAAACACACCAGGGCCCCTCATAAACACTGAAAACACAAGGGTGAATAAGAATGGCTTCTACCTTCAAAGAGTTCACCAGTTAGAAAGAAACAAACTTGAAACAAATAACTGCATTCCCTTACACATGGGGTTGCTATGAATCACAACCAATTCAATGGCAACTATTTTTTTTTTACCAACAGAACACCTAGAGTACTATTTTAGACTCACTAGTTTTGATAATTGGTTGGTGGATATCAGTGATTATTTCTTTTCATAACAGGTTTGTTGATCTTATCAGGTGCTGTCGAGTTCGTTCTGACTCATAGCGACCCTGTGGACAACAGAACCAAACACTGCCCAGTCCTGTGCCATCCTCACAATCCTTGCTGTGCTTGAGCCCGTCACCGCAGCCACTGTGTCAATCCATCTCATTGAGGGTCTTCCCTTTTTCACTGATCCTCTATTAGGATATAATTTCCATACCATATAATTCCCCCATTAAGGGGAAATTTTCTCTATAGTTATTCATACATTTAGATATATGCAGTCATCACCACAGTCAGTTTCATTACCTCAAGAAGAAACCCTGTACCCTTCAATTATCACTCTTCTACTCTCCCATCCTGCTTCTCTCCTAGCCCTAAGTAGCCACTAATCTAATTTCTGTCTGTATAGATTTACCTATTCTGGACATTTCATAAGGAGCTCTGTGGCATAGTGCCTAAGGCATTTGACTGCTAACCAGAGGCTGGCAGTTCAAACCCACCAGCCACTCCTCAGAAGGAAGGTTGGGCAATCTACTTCCATAGTGATACCACCTTGGAAACCCAAGGTGGGGGCTTGCTGTGATATTTCATGTAAATGAAATTCTGTACTATGTGATCTTTTGTGACTGGCTTCTTTCATTTAGCGTGCTTTTCATTGTTCTGGTTACCTAGTGCTGCTCTGATAGGAATATACCACAAAATTCTACTAGATATGAATTGATATCTCATTGTGGTTTTTATTTGCATTTCCTTAACAACTTGGGAGGTCTGGTGGCCTAGTGCCTAAGGCATCTGACTGCTAGTGGTGGTTCAAACCCACCAGCCACTCCTCAGAAGGAAGGTAGGGCAATCTACTTCCATAGTGATACCACCTGGGAAACCCAAGGAGGGGTCACTATGAGTCAGATCCTCCGACTTGACTTGGCGGCAGTGAGTTTTTGAGTTAACAACTTAATGATGTCAAACATCTTTTCATGTGCTTATTGGCCTTTTGCATATCTTCCTTGGAAAAATACCAATTTAGAGTCTTTGCCCATTTTTTAATTGAGTATTTGTCTTTTTCTGGTGATGTAGTGCCTAAGGCATTTGACTGCTAACCAGAAGACTGGTGGTTCAAACCCACCAGCCACTTGTTGGAAGAAAGATTGGGCAATCTACTTCTGTAGTGATACTGCCCCAGAAACCCAAGGAGGAGTCACTGTGAGTCAGATTGACTCGATGGCAGTGAGTTTAGTGTGGGTTTTTTTTGGTTTTTTTTTTTTTTTT